AAAAATGGCACCCATTTTAGTTTCTCCATAGCTCTGCAGGCTGGGGTCCTGGTTGTCTCTCACTTGCCATTGTCTAAAACAATTTTAGACCCCTGGTCATCTCTCATGCTCTATTTCCAACCATCAGGCTGGTTGAGAGCTTCCAGCTTCCCTATGATTGTAGCACACCTTCCACCAACATCTTCCTTATTGCTACACGATTAAGCTGTATCTTCTGGACTCTGCCACGGAACAGCATTAGCTGTTGGGTACCCATGATCACACTCCACTTTTCTGACTCTTTGCCCCTTTCCTCACCATTAACTTTTATTGCCATTAAGTAACAAACTTAATGATATCTATATATCCCTGACTTCCTACAGGAATCCATGTGGCAGGGTAGAAGAAGAAAAGGAGGTGTGCTCAGAAGACAACTTCCTACAGTTTAAGTAAGATTTCATCTTGTGTTGTCTCTGTAAACAGAGTTCCAGGAGATGTCAGTCTACCTCACAATTAGGCAAATTGGTTCCAAAAAAAAAACCTGATGAGTAATTTTCAGATCCTCAGAAAGCAAGAACATAGCTGTGTTATAAATTCTACCAAATAAATTTGTTTTTATTAAGAAATTGTGTCATTCCTTATTGAGGACCACAAGGATGACAGAACTCCATCTGCCATCAGAAGATAATTATCCCCTAATGATTAGAGAATTTATAGACATGCAGCTAATGCTAGAAATTGGCTAGAAACTAACAAGTTTGTGGAACACCACTTTCAGTCTGCAAAATTCAATAAAATGCGTGTTTGTTTTTATCCCAAAATAAAACTCAAGTAATTTGTCTCCTTGCCTCTGCTGAGTCGGCTGCTAAAACAAGATCTGGCTTTGTTTGCATGATCAGCCTGCTCCCCTCTGATATTTGGTTAGATATTGTCAAGTCAATTTCATTTTGAACCCTCACGGCCTAGCAATCTGCAATATGCATAGAGTAATTGCACCGACATCGGAGAACATCCAGAATTGTAAATGCTTTATTCTCCACTAACCAAGTAGAAAAACAGATTCTCATAGGAATGTGCTTTGGTGAACAGCTTGGAAAACTCTTCCTAAAAAGAGTCAGTGGAAGATGAGTTGAGAGGCACCACCTTGGGCTAAATGAGCTTCCTTTTCCATGACCAGATCCAAAATCTCCCAGGTCCTCACATCCATTTTATACAATAAACTTCATAGAAAACTAGACCTTTATCCAGGGAATTCGTCAATGTATTGGAATTAAAGTTCTGTCTTTGTGTCCATCTGCTTTCATGTTAAAATGGGAAGGTGTCTCTGGGGTTGTAATTTGCTGGAAGAGCACCTGCCTAGCATGCATGTACAAGGCCCTGGATCTATCCCTAATGCCACAAAATAAATTGATTTTTTTAAATATAAGTCCTGTCTCTCTTGATGACAGACCAACAATTCAAGCTAGACCTGGGAGATGAAGTCTGGTATAATCTTACCATGATTTTGGCGAGTCACATCAGAGTAACCAGGCCAAACTCAAGGGAAAGCATTGGTGAGTCCCTCTCAGGTTTTTGGTGAGTGCTAAGGATAGTAACTAGGAAAGGATACACAAATCCTCTTGAATTGTCCATTTCTAGACTCTAGGACCATGAACCTCAGGAAGGCAAACCATATTGCAAACATAATGTGGAAATATTAAGACATACAAAATAGGAATGTCCTATGATATTTTATTGAGGAAGAAATCACTTACATGAGAAGCCAAGAAAGCCGAGAACCAAAGATCCAGGCTGAAACCTGAACCCAAAGAGAACGTGTCTCCTGCCCCTAGCTCTTTTTATCCCCCGTATGTTCTACATAACTGTGAACACACCCAAACAGGCGTGGTCAGCGTTACAGGTACGTAAGATCTCTCCCTACACAAACATACTCCTCTAGTTCCCAAAATTACTTTTCTTTCCATTTAAGCTTCAAGAAAATGGCATTCTTGACTTTGGTCAGGTCTGAGTAGGTTCCACTTGGGGTTAGTTTGCAATACTTAAAATGTTTTTTTTAATTCCTGGAAAAAGAAGACATCATTGCATACTCGCTTTTCCTCCTTAAATAGAACAACCCAATAGGTCTGTGGAAAACACTGTATTAGTAACTGCAGTCTTCAATTCCATCTGCATCCCAATGACACTCAGATTTATCTTCTCCTCCCTTAAGAAATCAGCACAGAAGATGAAAAATGAACAGCCCTTGCCAAATGCACAGCCCTTAGAGTTCTCAGAAAATAAATGTTGTGTCTCTAAAATCAGAACTAGCTAAAGAAGAAGAGTTTGTAGTTTCACTCTGGTTCCCTCATTCTCACTCAACTTCTTCTTGGTCTTTCAGTCATTTTGTAATTTGATATTTATACGTGCCACCAATGAATGGGAAAAGGAGTGATTTTGTGTGGCAGAGGGCACTAGCATGCAAGCCACTGATTACCCAGACCCAAGACAACTGACTGAATAAAAGTAAAACAAGGAAAGAAAATCCTCCATTGTGTCAAATGGAATGATTTCAGCTTTTGGCCAAAAAGAAACCTGACAGAAATAATCTGTTTTCACATAACCAACTGTTGATGTATGACTAGCTCAATATCTTGAGAGCAGCATTCTTTAAGGACTCTTTGAACTCTTTAGAGGTCCACAATGACTACTACAAGTCTAGGCAGTCAAACAAAAAGAGAAATCAGTTCTAATGAAACTGTAAACTTTACAGAAATTTCTCTTTGTCCAAAATTACATACCATGATCAATTCTACCTGCAAGAGAAGCTTCAAATGAGAGTATTTTCTTCCTGGCCTCTGCCACAGAAAATTTTAAATTGATAGTATGGCTGGGAATGATTATTTTGCCAATTAACATTCCAACAGATCTATGACATCTTTCTCTATAGATCAGCCATGAGAATTATGCCAAATCATTCACCCTTCAGAATAATTCTAAGAGGGGAGGGGAAAGCTATTAATATAATAGCCAAGAAAAGACACTATGCAGGGTTATTCTGATGAAATCAGGATATATAGTTTCTTAGGGTTTCTATTGTTGTGACAAATTACCACAGTCTAAGTTACGTTCTGAGTTCGATTTCTGCTCACATTGTGAGTAACCATGAGCTTCTTGAGACCAATCTCCCTCCATATCTTAAATACCCATTCAATTTTCTTTGTTTACTCTTAGGCATAAGCCTTCTTAGAGTTTAGAGAATTTTCCTTGACTGTACTGTGATTGTCTACTTATTGGAATAGCTCATATTTCTAGAAAGATGTCATAGTTCAATATCACACTTTAGGTACCTCTTCTGCCCTTTCTTCCTGAAAGCATAAACTAAATAGACGTGTGTTTGGGGCTTAAGCTCTGCCTCCCACTGGAAGATGATCTCACTCTTCTGTCAGTGGCGCCAGGCTCCCAGCCTTTAAGCACCTGACATGATACTGACTTACAATTACACAGTAGAGTTTAGGGAAGATCAAGACAGACAATCCTGAAGGAATCAATTTGGCCTCAGAATCTCCTTTAACTTTATCAATAAACATTGGTTTTGTGAAAACTCTGGATTTACTTCTAAATCCTTTCACTGGTGTCATCCAATTGCCAGTAATTAAAAAATGTGACAGACACGAAAGTTTCAGGATCAGTTGCTATGAAAACCTATCCTTACCCTCAAGAGTAGCAGTTCCCAGAATGTGACTTGCAGAGGCCCCAGAATCCAAATGAACTCCAACAGACTTTGCAGGATCCTTTTCAAGGATCTCAAAGGTCAAAAGTACTTTTCATAACACTAACATCATTTTTCTTTAGAACTGTGTCGGCACCTACATTGAGGGTGCAAAAGCAGTGTGGCTAAAAAGATCAGTGGCTAGTAAACTCCTCCATGTCGTTATGTTCTTTCCCAGCACATATGAATCAGAGCGTGGTACCAAATGCTTCCTGTCATTGCATTCTTCACCAGCGTTCAGGAAAACAAAGCTCCAGTATCACATAGGAATGCCCTTGATGATGCAATACTTTTAATCTTCTTAATTCTTAGCCCTTGAGCACAACTTAGCACACTGTGTGCCAAGACTGGAAGTACACATAGCACTCTTGGACCACACTGTGTGTGGCTGGAGACAAAGCATTGTGCAATTGAGTTGTGACACCACCCCCCGCTTGCTAATGCTTCATGGACCACTATTAAGTTGTCACACACACACACACACACACACACACACACACACACACACACACCACTTGCTAATTCTTCCTGGACAACTATTTTTGAAACCAGACAAAAAATGACTACTGAACAAATAATTGTTTAGATCGATTTTTCCATATATTTTCTCAAAAAAGGAATAATAAAAAAGTCTTTTCTCCGAGGGAAATGCTTGTTGCTAATGGGAAAATCTGGTGCTTATAACGAAAATGATTATGCAAAACATGTATCCACTATAATGAGTTTAAACACTTGCCAGTACGTGGTTTTTGTTATCAATAGTGTTGATAATAAATGTGACTCTCTCCTATCTTAGGACAAAAATGTCACTATTTTGATCTGTACCACCAGTAAATCGGTGTTTTCTAAATGATCAAGACAGAGTGTTGTAAAGTCTTGTGCTGTTAAAAGAATTATGCAGAATAAAAAATAATATTTGGAGTCTATTTGCAATTAATTTTTAACAAACAATAGCAGCAAATTATTAGATAACACCAAAGATAAATATCAGCAGCTATCTAAAAAGTATGTGAACTCTCTTTTTGAGGCAGGTGCAGTGGCATAGCTGTAGACTATAGTATCTATAGGAGGCTGAGACAGAAATCTCATTGAACCCTAAGAGCTCAGGTCCAAGATGGTCAGCATAGTGAAACATTGTCTCCGGGGGTCAAGGTGGAGGCAGACAGAGATAGATAGTGAGGAATGAAACATAAATATGCAAAGTGGTAAATAGATTTGGTCTTTTGTAGTGCCCTGAATCTCTTGGAAGCACTTATTAATTATATAAAGTCACCTTATTAATTTATCTTGTCCTTATGGAATGTTGCAGTTCCTCTAGCCTGTCTTCAAACTTGGATATTCTGTCATCTCCTTGAGGAAGGGTAAAGAGACATCCTATAAAAAGGTAGAAAATCTTTGTCAGCTGTACATCTCACAGAGAACTTACATCTACACTATACAAAGAACTCAACGAGAAAACCTGACTAAACAAAAAAACAACCCTTTAAAAAAATTAAGCTAGTGAGCTGAGCAAAGAGTTCTCAAAAAAAGAAAAGGAAAGAAATACTAGGCAATAAATACTTTTAAAATGTGCCCGAGTCCAGCCTATATCAGTCCTAAACTGCAGGGGCCATCTATTCTGGACTCATTTCTTTGGGGCAGTGTTCAGAACTAGCCAAACAGCCCCGGCTCCAACCCTGCATGGGGGAGTGTAGATCAGGGAAGTCCTAGCTACCCAGCAGCATTAACAACGAGACAGAGACATCTTGTCATTTCAGGAGGGCTCTCGGTCCATACTAGAGACCAGTATGGTTTATTCAAACATCCTCTTAAATAGCTTTCCAAAAGTGGGGGGTACTGGCAGAAGACATCTATTATCGTGTATATAGGACTGACTAGGAAACACTTCATATACTCACAAAACGTATATTAAGTATACACAGTGGAGAAATAACTCCCTTTTTTCTGTCAAAGTCTGCTGCCCAATGAAAGAAAAGAGTTAATGTACTGTGATGGCTCTTCTTGACTTTTTCTTTAAGGCCACCAACCAGCTCCCAAATCACGACATGGAGACTTTTTATTAGTTGTGAATGCTCAGCATAGCTTAGGCTCGATTCAGACTAACTCTTTTAACTTAAATTAACCTGTTTCTATTTACCTACCTTTTGACTCAGAACTGGCGCAAAGTCTCCCTTGTTCTTCTCTCTAGCCAAGAGTTCGCCTCCTATTTATTCTGTTTCCCAGCCCCGCCTATCCTTTCTCTCTATCTAGCTATTGGCCATTCAGTTCTTTGTTAGACCAATTGGGTGCCTTAGGCAGGCAAGATGAAACAGATGCAACACATCTTTACATAGTTAAACAAATGTAGCATAAGCAAATGTAACACACCTTTACACAGTTAAAGTAATATTCTGCAGCATAAACAAATGTAACACATCTTTGCCTAGTTAAAATAATATTCCCCAACAACTACATCTGGGATTAATTAAAAGCCAGGCATCTGAGCACACTGTGAGGGATTTTTTTCTCTATTAAATCATTTGAAGTGAAAAGACCCTCTTTTAATCCAGATCTTTTGAGGTGAAAGGATACATCTTTAATCTGGGTCACACCTTCTGCTGACAGCCTATGTAAAGACATGGAAGAATGAGGTTTTCTCTCTTTGCTTGCTCTCATTCTCATAGGCAATTCCATTCCTTCCCTGGCTTTAGAACATCTTCAGGATTTCAGCATATACTGAAGATCAACTGAGATATCCAGCCTCCATGGACAGAACAACTACTGGATCCTTGGGCCTTCTGTTGATAGACAGCCATTATCAAACTTGCTGGATGACAGCTTGTAAGCCCCTCTAATAAATCCCTGTTACACATATAGAAATATGTATTCATTCTCTCAGTTCTGTTCCTCCAAAGAACATATATACATACACCTGGGTAATACATACACTGGTATTCACAATTGTTCTGTGTTCACCTGTAATATCTTAAACATCTATCAGTCTAGTACATCTGGTATAAGCAATCATTTTGTCAAATATGATGTTGCATTTAGAAATTCATGTTTGATAAGGTGTATTTATATCTACCAAGTTATCATTTATTTGGATTATCAGTTGTATATGTAGTATAAGTCCTTAACTTATAATTTCAGACAATCCTATATATAAATAGAAACACATGTTAATGATATTTAATAATATCTCTTCTACAACACACAGCTAATCTATTCTGGAAGAAAACTGTGTAATATAATACTTTATATCTTTTTCACATAAGTGATCATAGAACTTTATCTTATTTTTCACTGGGTTTGTTTTATAAAAGGTTTCTTCGTATAAAAAATGTCAAGCTTAAAATTAGGCCATGATTGGGTAGCAAGAGAAAAATATGAAATAGGGAGACATTTTGCCTTGAAACTCCATTCGCCTGGATTTTCTTTTTATAATTCAGTCAGAACTTACAGCAAGAGAAATCAGTGATCTTGTACTTATTGGAAAATCTGAAAGCCTTGGAAAAAATAAACAATACTATCACATTCACTCTTTTCATTCTGAAAGCACAGATTTTTGCTTTTAAAAAACGAGTATTTACTATTCTAACCTTGCAGAAGTTCACTTAGATGTATAAACTTTGGGTCCAGTTAATTTCATTGTGTGATTTTTTCACAATTTTTAGAAGAAATTTTACAAAATAATATTTATAGTTGCATATATTGACTTTATTAATAAATAAAGTAAGGAGAATTATTTTTAGTGTTTCAAGACAGGGTTTCTCTGTGTAGCCCTGAATGTCCTGGCTATCATTCTGTAGACCAAACTAGCCTTGAACTCAGAGAATCCACATGCCTCTGCCTCCCAAGTTCTGGGATTAAAGGCGTATGCCACCATCACCCAGTCAGAAAATATTTTGTTTATAAGGTTAATTTCAGCATAATAAATCTTGATGATAGCATAACCCCTGCAAGTGAAAGATTTCAGAGGCCCTCAACAATCTTTAAGAAGACTATAAAGATTTAAGATTTTAAATCCTGAAAAATATTGCCTTAGTAAAATGTTCACAGATGACCAAAGATGAATAATAGGTTTAGTTTCACTTTTTTAAAATAATCAAACATAATTTTGTGGGTATTTTATTTTTATTATAAGCTGATATTTAAGGGTTGTATATATTTATAGGGAACATGTGATGTGTTAATTCATGAATACTTTGCATGGTGGAATTCCATAGTAACCACAAAGAAAATGGCTATAGGAAATACACCAAGAGAAATGAGAAAGCAATTTCACCACTTCACTAACTATATGTGTATGTAGGTATGTGCACATACGTATGCACATGCATGTGTGTGTATGTGTGAAAAGTAAACTGTAATAAATATTTTAAAAGTTATAGACGATATAGAAATGAGTAACAAAATGACATAATTAATTCCTGGCAGTGTATAATGACTTTAATTGTCAGTGAATTAATTGTCTTGTCCAAAGACACAACCCATGACTGTTAGAGTAGTTCAGTAGCAAAGTGTCTGCCTAGCCTGGATTTGTTAGGTCTTGAGTTCTGTCTACAGTGCTACAAACAGAATAGAGATCAATAGAACCGATAAAACTATGTCCAGCTGCATTTTATCAAGCAGAGAATTGCTTTAGACCCAAAACACAAATAGGCTGAAAGAAAAAAGTTGGAAAAGAATATTTCATGCACATAGTATACAAAATCAGTTTAGAGACATAGTATACAAAATTAGAGACATCTATACTAATATAACATAAATGAAATACAATAGATCAACAGATATTTGAAGAACACTATACCTAGCCATGCAGCATGCAAAACCTTCACACATATATGCAGGATATTTTCATTGTAACCAATGCCCAAGATAAACAACTTTCCTGGCAGAAAGGTCTAGTTGAGTTCCTGGTATCAGTAACCCATGGCCACTTGGTGTCCTTCTGAGTTATGCAGGTTGGTTGAAGAAAGAGAAACCCTGCAGGGTGTTTTAAGGCTTCCTCAGCAGCAGAGTGGAACAGTTCTGAAGGCCTGGAGCTTTGGAGAAACACTTTATTGTTACCTAAAAGGCACTTTTAGCAGTCAACTTCCCCATGCCAAAACCTCTTATCTGAAGAACCATTACCTAAGCAATTCTCACTCAGACCAGACTTCCTTGTTTGCCAGGTATGTCTCCAGACTAAATGATGCAAAGGCTCTGTGAATCCTTCAGGAAAAGCAACTCCATAAGCCTCAGACAACTATGATCACTGGTTATTTACAAAAGGTTACTTCAGAGCCTACGTACCATCCTCCAGAACTCATGCAGTTACAACGGTTCTGTTCAATCACACCTTGATCCCATTGCTTTGGGGCCTGCAATAAGCAAGGCTGTCGTGGTAGCGTTAATCCCACCTATAGAGAATAGGACCACTGCCATAGTTTAAAGCCAAATTTGAAGTAAGTTTTAATTAAAGACTGACCAGGTAGATGGGCACTGGCCAGGTCCATACCCGGGTTCCTGGGAAATGGCCCAGAATCAAGTATCACAAGGGCTAAAGAAGGAAAACCCATAATTCATTGCATTTACCATCAAGTCCAATGGAGGGCAAGCATATGTCCCATAGCAACTTAGAACTTCCTTTAACTCCAGTTCCAGTAGATCTGACATCCTCTTCTGGCCTCCACTGGCCTATACACACATGATACACATAAACCCATGCAAACACACACACACACATACAAATAAAGAAATCTTTTTAAAAACTAACATGTGATAAACATAGAACATGAATATGTTTTTAAATATTAATAATGGCTATCTCTAAAGACTAGTTACATACTCAATTTGGTTATAAATACTTGTTTGGCTCACTTTTCTTCTGAAGCTCTTCTATATCACTTTTAAATTCAGAAAAAATATGCAAATATTTTTTATCTTATGAAAAACTCTAATTATGGATTCAGCCTCCGATGGCTGAACTCTGTGACGGAGTCCATGTGAAATTCATTACCCCGGTATGACAGCTAATTTGTTATCAAGCCAGCTCATAAATAAGCCTCCCTCACTTCCTCCATTGTGTTCCACACAATTTAGCACCTGATTACACACTTTCTGGTGTGCTGTTTGGCTACTAACTGTTTCTTCCTCTGCTGGTGTCCCTGAATCCAGGAAACACAAGGAAGCGCCCATTCCGTTGCAGGCCCTATGTCATGCTACTGTCTGTTTGCTTTTCATTTCATCATCACAGCGACTTTAACATACTTGGGAGTCGCAACCAATTTTCAGAGGTCGTAAAAGGTTAAGTGACTTGCTCAAACTCAGAGTGGCAGAACTGAAATCTAATCACAGGTCTCATATTTCCAGGCCTGCATGGTTGTTTCACTAAATAGCTTTTGTACTCTGAGAGAATAAATGTTACGTCCTTCACTTATTACTCTCACCTAAGATGGCCAAAGCACTTAGCACAATGTTCTGTAGGCTATTTAATTTCTTAATGGAGGTTGCCATGTGGAAGCAGTGTCATGACCTCGCTACCTCCCAAACTGAGCAACACTTCTCAAATTCTCAATTTTTTCCATTGCTTTTCTAATAGAAATAATAACTCAGAGGTCTACCTTGAAAACTTACCAGTGCATAGGGTGCATGGCAGATGCAAAGGGAGGTACGGTGTGATGAATGAAAGCCATACCATGGTACATGAGGCGGCTGGAAGGCAATTGTATTGGGGATACTTACAAGCCGTGAGTTGGATGAAGCATGCAGTTCTCCGTGTTGTTGTCAGCAACTCACAGAAAGGTATGGGGAAGCCATGACATGTGTTGTGTGTTACAGAACTAGAATTCCTGTTGCTCAGATAGGACAAATAACATAATCCAGAGAGCAGGTACCGTGTCAGCTTGTGTGCTAGCCGACCCTGGGGTTACCTGCACGTGTTAATATCACCAGGAGACTTTGGGAAGAGAGCATACTGTCAAGATGAAGGAAGATACCGAGTCTCTTAGCACATCTAGAACTTGGTCAGGTTTTATTTAATATGGACCCAGGTCATCCAGTGAGGACAGTGTTCCTCACTGGGGAGGATTTAAACCTTGGCATTTGTGTGACATGAAATAAATAATTTACTAAACCTTTCTGTCCTTCCCCCATAAAGTGAGAAGGTTCTAGCAGCCAAAAGTTCTGTGTGACTTTCCAGTCTAGACCAATTGGGTTCGCTAC